TAAATAATGACAAAATGCAACCCACCTATTTGATAAAAGAAACATCTTTATTATTAACAGTACAATTTTCAGCTTGTAAATTTCTGGTAGGTAAAGCATTTTTAAATATAAAATGTATAGTTTACCATATATATGGAAAAGAGTAGATATTGTTAGTTTTTTGGAAATGGTTATAATCAACGTACAGATTTTCCTGAATATCAGCAAATTAAAATGAAGACATCACCTAATATATTTTATGAAATTGCTTTAGGCTAATCTCATATTCTACATGAAATGAAAATGTCTGTCTCCATTTATTTGAGCATCTGAATAGTTTGTTTTTTTAAACTTTCATAATACACATATAGAAGAAAATCTAATATCATATGCCTCATAATAAAGCAGTTTGACAACTAAAAAAGTGTAGTGACATGTATTATCTTCTAAAAAGGGAAAGAAATTATGTCTGATCTTCAGACATGATACTGCTATTGTAAAGGAGTAAACGAAGGCTGAAAAGGCTAGTGCTAGAGAGGAAAGTGAATGGTGAGGAAGTAGGAAACTAGGAAAAGCCTGGAAACTGAGGATTGTGTTAAAGTAAGAAAAGCTGTTAAGACTGAGGATTAAATGAACAGTGAGTAGCAATCTAGATTTGTGTTTTAGTAGACCATTCATTTTACACTTACTACTAGAAATGAAAATGTCTATAAGATAAAAACCATGCTTGCAAAGATGAGAGGATAAAGAAATTGTAGTTTCGGTTGAAGGATACTCTGGTGGAAGGTGTGATGCTGGAACATTTTATGCATGAAAGTCTATCATTAACAGTATTGTAAATCATGGTGCCTAAAATTTAAAACTAAATAAAAATATATTGCAATATATATGTATATATGTATGTATGTTTGTGTATACACTGGAGCATTCTTCAGTGATAAGAAATGATGCATATTTGCATTTGCTACAACTTGGAACTAGAGGAGGTCATGCTAAGTGAGATAAGTCAGAGGGAGAAAAACAAATACCAGATGATGTCTTACTGTATGTGGAATACAAATAAACAAATCAAGAGACTACAAAATTGCCAATAAAAACAAATCCTAAAACTCAGCCAAAAGAAGCGGAGACATGAGAGCAGAGAAGAAGACAAAGAAGGGAAGGAACCAGGGACCCTGGTGGAGAGATACTGGCATTTCAGGGCTGAAAGTGGTGCAGCAACATTGCCTAAAATATTAATATTACTATTGTAAAAATTTTAAATAAAACACCTTCCAGAGTCATATTTTTTATAGATTAGGCAAATACATGACAAACTTTTGTAATGGGAAGAAGGAACATTTTAAACAAATAAAAATATTTTAAATGTGTATATTTTATGGCATTGTTTTACATTACTTTTCATGTTTTACATTTATTTTATATCTATACGTTTTTCTATGTTTATTCTACATTTACTTCGGGGATAAAAATTTATATGAAAAACATTTTTGCTAAAGCACAAATAGCAGGAATCATCATTTAATATCACTCTAAAGAATCATTTCCATAACCTTTCTTTAGGGAGCTACATTTTAAAAGTAACAACAGTCTGGAAAAAACAAAAATGAAGATATGTAGGAAAAAATGAATGTTAGTGAGAAATTGATTCAAGCACATTTTACTGACAAAGCACATCTCAACTAAATTCTGGGGTAAATGTATTTTTATTTATGTTGTGTTCTCATTTATCAACAGAAAAAGTAGAGATGTTATTAAAATAAAAATAGTTTAATTGTTTAAAGCTTAATACAGTATTTTATACAACACCATATAGTTGTATATGTTGTACAACAACATTTTATCTAGCAAAGTAGATCAGTGGGTGCCTGGGAAGAGGGAGAAAGAAGGGAGGGATTACAAAATAAAAGATATGAGAAAACCTTGAAAATTGAAAAATCCATATGTTATATTGACTTTGATGGTAATTTCCCAAATATATACATATGTAAGACTGTGCAAAGTTGTAGACCTAAATGATCTGTGACATTGTATGTTAACTGTACCACTATAAGGCTATTAAGATATTTACAATCAGGGGGCCAGGAGATAATATAGTGATTATAGTGCAGTCATACCGTGTACCAAAATTATGACACCTCATAGTTACCCAAAAATCACTGTATGAAGACCAGGAGGCCCCTAGCATCTCTAAGTGCAGCCCTGTAGGCCCCTAGAATCTCTAGGCAAATCCCTAAAAGCCCCAGAACTACCAGAATGGCCCAACTAATTCCCTGCACCATAGGACCTGAGCAGCATGACATGCTCAGGCCCTTGTTTTGAACTTCAGCCCATTTGGCCAAGATTCACTGGTGGGGCCCTCAAGGATAGTGTCATAGTCTAGGCCTATTATGTATACCTCAGTTCAATCCTACACCTGAGCAAAGTAAGGACTGAGTGTGGTACTGCTGGGTCAAGATTATATCATAGAGGTCCTAGTCCCTCCAAGCATCACTGCAAGTGATGTACATCAGCAGAGTTACTATGAAATTGTGAAAATTATTACTATGAATTCCTCAAAAATTAAAAATATACATTCCATGCAATTCAGTTATCTCAATTGTGATTATTTACACAATACAAAATATTAATTAAAAGATACATATTTCTTGCTTTATATGTGTGAGGTCCTGAGTTCTATGCCAGTACCACACACACACACACACACACACACACACACACACACACACACACTCCACATACAAACAAAGAGATATACCTGTACCTTCATAATGAAATTTTTATAATAGTCAAGAGATCACTGTCACTGTCACTGTCCTCCTGTTGTTCATTGATTTGCTCAAGCGGGCCCAGTAACGTCTCCATTGTGACTCTTATTACTGTATTTAGCATATCGAATACGTCACAGGAAGCTTACCAGGCTTTGCCGTGCTGGCGAGATACTCTCGGTAGCTTGCCGGGCTCTCTGAGAGGGGTGCAGGAATCGAATTCGGGTCGGCCATGTTGGCTGTGTGCAAGGCAAATGCCCTATGCACTGTGCTATCGCTCCAGTTCAGTCAAGAGATAAGAGCTGGAAACAGTTAGGTTCTCTTCAACAAATGATCACATAGACTGACTAGATAAGTCAGTGGACCATAGTGCATGTTTTGCATGCAGGATAAACAGGTCCAATACTTTGCACCACATGGTACCCCCAAGCACCACAAGAGTGACCCTTAAGCTGTCTGCTTAGTTGTGGTCCCTTTCCCCCTACCAAAAAAAGGGGGAAGGGGGAAGAAAATGTAGTAAATATGTGTATGAAATATTACTTGGCCCTGAAAAGAGATGAGATTCTTTGATTTGCAGCAACATGAACTGTCGCACTCTCCTCCCGTTGTTCATCGATTTGCTCGTGCGGGCCCAGTAACGTCTCCATCGTGAGACTTGTTGTTGCTGTGCTTGTCATGTTGAATACATCATGGGTAGCTTGCCAGGCTCTGCCATGTGGGCGAGATACTCTCAGTAGCTTGCCGGGCTCTCTGAGTGGGGTGGAGGAATCGAACCTGGCTCAGCAAATGCCCTACTGCTGTGCTATCGCTCCAGTCCAGCAACATGAACTAGAAGATTTTAAACTTATTAATGAAATAAATCAGTTAAAAAATAAAAACCTATGAGTTAAAGTCATGTTGTAAAGAAAAATAAAACAAGTTGATTAAATAATACAATTTTTAAAACTTTAAAGCAATAAGACCAGCAGTTCTTAGATGGAAGAAAAAAGACATCTTCTGGGGAAAAAAGAAATATGAATCTAGTAAAAGGGGATAGAAACAGACTTTTAGTTGTGAACTTAATATAGTTTATGCAATTGTTGATTTTGTTTAATTGGGGTTTTAATTTATGTATTTGGTTGAGGTAAGACACACCTGGTGGTCTTGGCTCTGTGTTTAGAGATCACTATTGGTAGGCTGGGGGGACCATATGGTGATCCCTCATACGATGCTGAGGACGAATTGAGTTGGTCATGTCCAAGATAAGTGCTCTACCTGCTGCATTATTGTTCCCACCACAGCAGTTATTGATTTATAAATATGCACTCTTGAAAGCTACGTAATGTCATAGTGCAACATTACTTCAATCAGAAATAATAAAAACTACATACTTTAACAAAAATTGGGAAAGTAACCTCAAGTTTAGAATTAGTTTATATATTCTTCCCACTTGTCTACCATATCTAAGATAAACTTTTACTTTTAGAAATACTTCTTTTGAAGTAGTCTGGCAAAAACCCCTAAAAGTGGAACCCACTATACTGACAATCATGTACTTAAATTTGTTCAAATGACTAGAAAGTGAATTTATAAACACCAACCTCAATCTTAGGAAAACCTGATTTTTCACTCTCTAATGAACTGGCAGTGACTTTCTTTTTTGGGTCACACACAGCGATGCACAGGGGTTACTCCTGGCTCTGCACTCAGGAATCACCCCAGGCGGTGCTCAGGGGACCATATGGGATGCTGGGAATGGAACCCGGGTTGGCCACGTGCAAGGCAAACGTCCTACCCGCTGTGCTATTGCTCCAGCCCCCTGGCAGTGACTTTTGACAATGACTTTTCACAACCGTTCTACCGCCTTGCCTCCCTCTACCCTTGACACTATGACAAAGACCAGCTGGGGGAGGAAAGCAGACAAGGCTGGGCTTTCGTCTTTCTCCACCGGCAAGTGGCCACGCATTTTTAAATCTCGGCCAACAATCCACCGCAGACGCGCAAGCGTCCAAAGCTACGAATCTGGCGTCGGCCTGGAGTTTTTGATAGATGTCTCGACCTACACAGATGCCTAACTGCCGTTGGTTCGGCTGCACCCAACCGCGGCAGGCACGCGGGCCCAGGGTTTCGCGCGCCTCCTGCTGGCCAAGAGCATGTGACGACGGAGTCACTGTCGCCCGAAGCCTCGTTCGGGTCCAGACCTGATGCCTCCAGCGTCCGGCGGCTCGCTGACCGCGCCTGGACTCAGTTTCCCCCTGCTGAAGCGGGGAAGCCATGCTGTCCTCTTTCTTGTTGCTCTCCAAGTACATCAGCGCTTCGCTGGTGTCCCTGCGCGGTTCGCGCCACCGTCTCTCCTTCCCTCTGCTGGGGGCCGTGGGGCGCCCCTGGAGGCCTCCTGGGTCAGGGGCTGAGGGCCGCCGCCGCCTGGCCGCAGCCGCGTCCACCAGGAACCCAGCGGGGCCCTCCCGGGTGCGCCAGAACTTCCACGCCGACTGCGAGGCCGCCATCAACCGTCAGATCAACCTCGAGCTCTACGCGTCCTACGTGTACTTGTCCATGGCCTATTACTTCTCCCGGGATGACGTGGCCTTGAACAACTTCGCCCGGTACTTCCTGCGCCAGTCCCAGGAGGAGACCCTGCACGCAGAGAAACTGCTGAGGCTCCTAAACCAGCGGGGAGGCCGGATCTGCCTGCAGGACGTCAAGAAACCCGACACGGACGACTGGAGAAGCGGCCTGAATGCCATGCAGTGTGCCTTACTCTTGGAAAAGAACGTGAATCAGTCCTTGCTGGAATTGCACGCTCTGGCCTCAGACAAGGGTGATCCCCATTTGTGCGACTTCCTGGAAACCCACTATCTCAATGAGCAGGTGAAGTCTATCAAGGAACTAGGTGACCACGTGCAGAACTTGGTTAACATGGGGGCCAAGAGTTCTGGCCTGGCGGAGTACCTTTTTGACAAACACACCCTCGGAAATGAAAGCCATCAGAATTAAGCCACAGGCTACCACCACAGAGGACGTGCCAGGCCCTAGTCAGCCGTCTCCTGCACCGTTGTTTCCTTTTTAATGTATCTCCTCTTCCTATTCCTCGAAATAAAATGATGTGTAGAGAAAATGGATTTCGCACATGCTAACAACGAATTTTTGCCCAGCGTTAAGATAATTAACTGAGCCCAAAAGGTCACCATTGGTAGGCTGCGATTAGTCAATCAGTAGAAAATCCATTGAAAAAAAAAAGTGTTAAAAATCAGATGCAAACTCTCTCATTACCAAACAGTATTTCAGACCAGGAATTTTACTAAAATTTCGTGCTTTCAACTCTACAAGTGCCTGTTTTCAAGAACTGAAGCAAAAAGCTTGAAATTGGAAGACAAATGTAATACAATAAAAAATTAATATAGTTCTGTGCAAATGATAATGTAATATTCTATAATAATTCTTTCTATTTCCCAAAGTGGAAAAATCATTTTACATTTCCCAAAGTGGGAAAAACAACATTTCCTGTTTCCTAAGGGAGAGTAATGTTTGGAAATAATCTGATTTTTAAAAGATTTTTTTGGTCTAGCAAATTTGAAACATATATAGGGTATCGATGCTGGCCTTGGAAACTAACACTGAATATTGATATTCTCCGTCTTGTCATTAAAAATAAAAAAAGCTAATTTTTTTTCTGTTTAGTGTTTCTCAAGCATATTCAATTTCATGTAAATTTTTTGTGTGTTTTGATAAGTATCAAAGTCTGTCTTATTACACATTATACACTTCACCACCAGCATAAATTGGCTCCCTTTAACAGATCATAGCGACTACAAAAAACATTTCATAACCCTTAAGACGGAAGCAAAATAACGAGTATGGAAAAGTCAGGAAAGGATCCAGAATGGAGTGACTATCAGACTATCAGATGTCTTCCTTCAGGTGGAGCTAGCGTGAAGAGAATAGCTGAGGGGCAGTCGCTGGGTTGATGGTGTTGGGAAGAAGGATTGGAAACAGAACACAAAGGAGCAGCTTCCTCCTCAATTTAGTGAGCAGTGCCAATATTTTAAAGGGTTCTCAACAGAAAAATGCTAAGATGCTGAGAGTTGTGCAGACTGCAGTCAAGTTGTGTAGAATAAAGACATGGAGACAACCTTAATGGCTGTTATTTTGAGTCTTCTAAGAAATAAGTGCCTAAGTGGGATTAGGAGTACACACAAAATGTGTTAAGGCAAACAGAAAGGTCTTTGAGGAAAACTGGAAAGTTGGGAGATGCAGGTAGGAATTCAAGACTCCCTACAAATCTAATCCTGAGGGAAGGAAAGGGAAGTTATGCAGTTCTTCAGAAAGTTCTGCTAAACAATGAGGGAGACATACAAAGTCAGCTGAGGAATCCCAAGTCTAAGTCACTCAATAGGGGCGAAGGTGTCTTTCCTGCTTTCAGTTACTGAGAATTGTAATACGAATTTGGCCCTTGCAATAAGGATATAATTGATTTTTTAATTATAATTATAGTTTAGGTAACACAGTTGCAATAGTATTAACATTTATACTACTGATTGTAAAAGTTACTGTACCCCACCACCACTAACATGCCCAAAACTCTCATCAAAACTCTCATGTTTCCCGGATTCTGTTTCTTCATTGCCCTCTCTCTTACCCACACTGTTTGGTAACCTGAGTTTTGTAATCCAAGGCCAGGAATTTGTCATTTTTTGATAGTCCCCACCCCACCCCGGGTTTAGATTCTCTAAATAGCACAGATGAGTGAGATAATTCAGTATTTGTCCTTCTCCCTCTGACTACTTGCACTCTACACTATGTCCTCCAGTTCCATCCATATTATAGTGAACTGCATGAATTTATCTTTTCTTACAGCTGTATAGTATTCCACAGTGCCCCGCGTGTGCACATGCGCACACCTGTATGTGTGTGTGGTGTGTGTGTATTTACACAGTGTATCTATTTTAGAGCACAGGAAAAGAGTCCTTAGAAAATTATGCTCTCTGTAACTCCAGACCTGAGGCACATATACACAGCTGCACAAGTTTAACAAAACAGTTTAAATGAAAACACTATACATGGAAAGCTCTCGGCAGCTGTTAAATAAGATTCTGTCGAATGTATAATGAGGTGAATAAAAATCCACAAAGTGTTTTTCTAGAAACAAGCATAAGAACAGTAATATCATAAAATTATATTTACAGCTTCAGGGAAAATTATATAATCCATATGTATATAAGATGACTAGAATTATATGTACCAACAAGTGAAACTAGGCAATTTGTGAGATGGGCTGTAATCAATATTTTCTTTGGTTAAAAAGGTAAAGGTAAAGGCCCTCCCATTGATCGTCGATTTGCTCGAGCGGGCCCAGTAACATCTCCATTGGAGACTTTGTTGTTACTGTGTTTGGCATATCGAATACTCTCAGTAGCTTGCCGGGCTCTCCGAGAGGGGCGGAGGAATCGAACTCGGGTCGGCCATGTTGGCCGCTTGTAAGGCGAACGCCCTACCGCTGTGCTATCACTCCAGCCCTTGGTTATTATTCTTTGGTTATTTACTAAAATGAATATCTCATCATGGAAAACAATTGTTATCATGACAGCAGGAGAAAAAATATAAAATAAAGACACAGCAATTAACGGCCTGAGCCATGGTGAAGCCAGTGAAAATAGAAACAAATGCTGGTGAGAGTTTAGAGACAAAATCTTTTTAATTTTGCAGGTAATTGAATGAAGAGAGTTACAGCAAGAAAATTGATGGAACTCAAACCTATGTTACTGAAATAGGTGATTGAGAATAAATTGGGATGTCAAGAGGATGAATGATTAGGGTGAAAGTTTTTTATTGGATTATGGTGATAAAACTTACTTTGCATTCTATAATTAATTGCTTTATATCACTCTATAAGAATGTTCTTACAATTTTCCATAAAAGTCCTTCTTAATTCTCCTAAATGGATGTTTTTAAAACTGTAGAAAGCAAATGAGTATTGCATCATGAAATTATTTAAGAACTCTCCACTACTGTCTCCAATTTTTCCAACCACCTCTTAAGCCTTCCGCCATAGCAGGTTCTCAATGATTTATTTTACATTGCTTGTTATCAATACTTTGCTAAGAGAATGATCAAAGATGTTTCCTCAGAAGAAAGGGAAAATAGTTGTATCACACCATAGAGCCATTAAGTCCTTGTATAAGAGATTACTAAATTGTTGTCATAGGTTAAGGCTTCTGTGTGTATCTTTTGTTAATCGAAATTGGTTGCCTTCTACATTATATCCCATCCAACCTGTTGTGTTACTACAGATTAATCAGTGTTTTAGAGTTTGAGATGTATTTTTAGCTTTAGCAAGCCTAGAATTTTTAATGAAGTGATAGAGCTGGAGTTAAGATTTTAACTGGATGAAACATATGATCATCTAATCTTTGACAAGGGAGCAAGAAATGTGAAGTGGAGCAAAGAAAGCCTCTTTAACAAATTGTGCTAACAAAATTGGATGGCTACATGCAAAAAAATGGGCTCAGATCTCTGCCTAACACCATGTACAAAAGTAAGAACAAAATGAATTAAAGACCTCAACATCAGATCAGAATCCATAAGGTAAATTGAAGACAAAGTTGGCAAAACCCTCCATGACATTGAAGCTAATGATATCTTCAAAGATGTCACACCACTGGCCAATCAAGTGAAAACAGAGATAGACAAATGGGACTATCTTAAACTAAGAAGCTTCAGCACCTCAAAAGAAACAGTGACCAAAATACAAAGACAGTCTACAGAATGGGAAAGGATATCCGCCAAATACACATTCGACAAGGGGTTGATATCAAGGGTATACAAAGGCTGGTTGAATTCCACAAGAAGAAAACATTCAACCCCATCAAAAAATGGGTCAATGAAATGAACAGTAACTTTCTCAAAGAAGAAATCCGAATGGCTAAATGGCACATAAGAAAATGCTCTACATCATTAATCATCAGGGAGATGCACTTCAAAACAACAATGAGATATCATCTCACACCACAGAGACTGACCCACATCCAAAAGAACAAAAGCAACCAGTGTTGGCATGGATGTGGTGAGAAAGGGACCCTCCTCCATTACTGGTCGGAATGCCAATTGATCCAGCCCTTTTGGAAAACAGTATGGATGATTCTCAAAAAATTAGAAATTGAGCTCCCATTTGACCCAGCAATACCACTCCTGGGAATAAATCCCAGAGAGGCAAAAAAGTATAGCTGAAGTGACATCTGCACTTGTTTGTTCATTTCAGCACTGTTTACAATAGCCAGAATCTGGAAAAAACCCAAGTGCCTGAGAACAGATGACTGGTTAAAGAAACTTTGGTACATCTACACAATGGAGTACTACACAGTTGTTAGAAAAGATGAAGTAATGAAATTTACATACAAGGGGTACTACATGGACAGTACCATGCTAAGCGAAATGAGTCAGAAAGAGAGGGACAGACACAGAAAGATTGCATTCATCTGGGGAACATAAAGTAACAAAATAGGAGACTAACACCCAAGAATAGCCAAGATAATTACCAGAAGATTCACTCCATGGCTTGGAGGCCAGCTGCACATGCTAGGGGAAAAGGCAGCTCAGATAGAGAAGGGAGCACCAAATAAAGGATCCTTCCAGGATGGGAGATGCGTGCTGAAAGTAGACTATAGACCGAACAGGATTGCCACTCAATGCCTCTTTTGCAAACCACAGCACCCGAAAGGAGAGAGAGAACAAAAGGGAATGCCCTGCCACAGAGGCAGGGTGGGATGGGGGGAAGGAGGATGGGAGGGATACTGGGATCAGTGGTGGTGGAAAATGGGCACTGGTGGAGGGATGGGTACTCTATCATTATATAATTGAAACCCAAACAGAAAAATTTGTAAGTCTACAACTGTACCTCATGGTGTTTCACCAATAAAAATTTAAAAAAAAACGATTTTAACTGGATGGTGGCTTTGGAGTGTGACTGCCTGGTTTTGGAATATTGAATGCCTATAGCA